ATCCCAGCACTTTAGGAGGCCTCAGCGGGAGGATTGCTTGAACCCATTAGTTCAAGACCAGCATGGGCAACATGGCAAAATTCCATCTCTACAAAAAACACAAAAATTAGCCAGGTGTGGCAGCGCATTTCTGTGGTCCCAGTTACTTGGGAGGCTGAGGTGGGGGAATCACTTGAGCCCAGGAGGTAGAGGTGAGCCAAGATCATGCCACTGCACTCCACCCTGGGTCACAGAGTTGAGACCCTGTTTCAAAAGAAGAAAAGGAAGGAAGGGGAGGGGAGAGAAGGAGGGAAACTGCTAAATTGTTAGAAGAGTAGATTTTAATGTTCTTACCTCAAAAAAAAAAATAAGTTTGTGCAGTAATGCATATATTAATTAACCTGATTTGGGCATTCTGCAGTGTTACATATTTCAAAGCATCATGTTGTACACCATAAATATGTACAATTTTATATACAAATAATACAGAAATGGATATTTTGTCAATTTTCAAAAATAAATAAATGAAAAAATTATATAAAATGGTAGAAAGTTACCAGTAATATAGGAAAAGTGGAAAGCAAAGCAGGCTAAGTGAGCTAGGGGATGAGGCAGGCCTCACTGAGCAGGCACTGGAAGGAGGAGAGGGAGTCAGCAACATGGAGCTAGGGAAGAACACTGCAGTGATATCTACATGGAAGGGTCAGCACAATGCTTCCGGGTGAGGGTATGCCTGGCATGTACAAGAAACAGGAAGGAGGCCTCTGTATGGTTACAGCAGAGAGAAGGAGGAAGTGAGTTAAAACATGTCACAAACGTGTGGGAACCAGATTATACAGGGTTTTGTAGGACATTCACTGTAAGGCTTTTGGATTTACTCAGAATGAAATGGAGATGCACTGGAATTTTGAACAGAGGAGTACTGTCATCTGGCTGCTTTGTAGAAATCAGGGAATAGGGGATACAGGTAGAATAAGGGAAACGAGTTAGTAGACTCATAATAACCAGGCAAAAGATTCATGGACCACATGGGCCATGTGACATGGACCACAGTGGCAGCAGTGGAGGTAGTAACAAGTGTCAGAATCTGTAGAGTAGCCAGGATTTCCTGATAGCTTGGACTGGGGAGTGTGAGAGAAAAAAGGGAGCCAGAGATGATGATGCCAGGGTTTTTTGTTGTTGTTGTTTGTTTGTTTATCTGTTTTGGGATGGAGTTTCACTCTTGTTGTCCAGGCTGGAGTGCAATGGCGTAACCTCCACCTCCCAGGTTCAAGCGATTCTCCTGCCTCAGCCCTCCTGAGTAGCTGGGACTACAGGCATGTGCCACTATGCCTGGCTAATTTTGTATTTTTAGCAGAGACAAGGTTTCTCCATGTTGGTTGGGCTGGTCTTGAACTCCCGACCTCAGGTGATCTGCCCACTTTGGCCTCCCAAAGTGCTGGGATTACAGCATGAGCCCCAATGCCCAGCCTGTTTGTTTTTGAGTTGGAGTCTTGTTCTGTTACCCGGGCTGGAGTGCGGTGGCACAATCTCGACTCACTGCAGCCTCTGCCTCCTGGGTTCAAGTGATTCTCCTCCCTCAGCCTCCCAAGTAGCTGGGATTACAGGCGCCCACCACCAGGCCTGGCTAATGCTTTTGTATTTTTAGTAGAGACAGAGTTTCCCCATGTTGGCCAGGCTGGTCTTGAACTCTTGACTTCAAGTGATCCACCCTCACCTGGCTGATGCCAGGGTTTTTTTTTTACCTAAACCAGGAAGTATGCAGCTACCCTCAGGTGAGTGGAGGAAAATCTAGGCCGTGGAAATGCAGATTTTTATTTTTTTGATTTAGGGTCTTGCTGTGTTGCCCAGGCTGCAGTGCAGTAGTGTAATTATGGCTCACTGCAGCCCCAATGTCTTGGGCTCAAGCATCCTCCCTCCTCAACCTCTCGAGTAGCTGGGACTACAGGTGTGCACCACCATGCCTGGCTAATTTTTAAAAATTCTTTTTAGAGGCAGGGTCTTGCTATGTTGCTTAGGCTGGTCTCCAACTCCTGGCTTTCAAATAATCCTCTCACCTCGGCCTACTGAAGTGCTGGGATTATAGGTATGAGCCACTTCACTTCGCCTAGACATGTGGATTCTATTTATTTATGAATTTATTTATTTATTTTTTATTTTTGAGATGAAATCTTGCTCTCTTGCTAGGCTGGACTGCAACCTCTGCCTCTTGGGTTCAAGTAATTGTGCTGCCTCAGTCTCTTGAGTAACTGGGACTACAGGTGTGCGCCACCAAGCCCAGCCAATTTTTGTAATTTCAGTAGAAACGGGGTTTCACCACGTTGACCAGAATGGTCTTGATCTCTTGACCGCATGATCCGCCCACCTATAATCCCAAAGTGCTGGGATTATAGGCGAGAGCCACCGCACCCGGCCAACATGTGGATTTTTAAGTTGGGAAGATCAGGTGTTCAGTTTCAGACGTTTTTAGACATTTCCAAGTGGAGATTTTGAGCAAGCTGTTTCTGGAATTCAGGGGAGAGGTCTGGCTTGGAGATCCCTATCTGTGAGTTGCTGTCATATGGGTCATATCTAAAGCCACGAGACAGTTGAGGTCACCAGGAGAGTACAGACTGGGAAGGGAGAAGGACTGAGAAGCAGGCACTGGGTATAGCAATGTGAACAGGCAGGGGAAGAAGAGGGGCCAGCAAGGGAGACTGCGACAGGAAGAACACCAGGAGCCCTCTTGAGAGCTCACCCATAGCCCATTTTCACACGAAAGATAACACTGCTTGACTAACAGTGTAATATTCAAATAATCAACGTGAAACAGACCACGTTCTATTCCTACTTTCAGTTCGAAAAGCCCTGAAGTGTTTACCAGGCTGATATGCACTCAGGGCACTAGACACTGATCTGGATTCTCCACTTAGAAAAATTATTTCCTTGTGCAATGTTTTACATGTTATTCACTCAATGAAAACAAAGTCTGAGGCCAGGCGCAGCAGCTCCCATCGGTAGCCCCAGCTTGCTGAAACAACAACAGAAACCCTAGATGAACACATATCTCTTATACAGATGCTCTTTGGATTAAAATTCAATGGTGAGGGAGCTTGAAGGAAGTTTTTTTAAAAAAAGAAAAAAGGGCCAAGCACGGTGGCTCACGCCTGTAATCCCACCACTTTGGGTGGCCGAGGCAGGTGGATCACCTGAGGCCAGGAGTTCGAGACCAGCCCGGCCAACATGGTGAAACCCTGTCTCTACTAAAAATACAAAAATTAGCTAGGCATGGTGGCAGGCACCTGTAATCCCAGCTACTTGGGAGGCTGAGGCAGGAGAATCACTTGAACCTGGGAGGTGGAGATTGCAGTGAGCTGAGATCACACCACTGCACTCCAGCCTGGGTGACACAGTGAGACTCAGCTCAAAAAAAAAAAGAAAACTAAATGTTTCTAAATCAAAATCATCTAGCTCTTTAACAAGCCTTAAAACAATATTCACAAACCAATTCAACTACAACTACACAACAAGAAATCATTAAAAAGATTTTGTATGCCACTTCAAGTTCAAGCTTAGTTCTACCAAGAACTTTTAAATATATTCTATAAAAACACAAATTTCTTGGATAATATCATCATTAAAGATGTAAGGAGATCCCAAGTACTTAAAAAAAATAAATAAATAGAGACGGAGGTCTCACTATGTTGCCCAGGAACTCTCTGGGCTCAAGAAATCCTCCCTCACTGGCCTCCCAAAGTGCTTGGATTGCAGGTGTCAGCCACCATGATCAGCCCCAAAGTACCTTTTTTTTTTTTTTTTTGAGATGATGTCTCACTCTGTCACCCAGATTGGTGATCTCATGCAGTGGCACGATCTCAGCTCACTGCAACCTCTGTCCTCCTGGGTTCAAGCAATTCTCATGCCTCAGCCTCCCAAGCAGCAGCTGAGATTACAGGCATGCGCCACCACACCTGGCTAATTTTTGTATTTTGAGTAGAGATGGGGTTTCACCATGTTGGCCAGGCTGGTCTCGAACTCTTGACCTCAGGCAATCTGCCCAGCTCTGCCTCCCAAAGTGCCGGGATGACAGGCGTGAGCCACTGCGCCCGGCCCGAAGTACTTTTAAAATACTGTTCCATAGGCCCCCTCAACACGTTACTGGAGGGAGTGTGAATTAGTACAACCACCTTGGAAAATGGTTTAACCCTGTCCACTAAAGCGAAGCATACGAGTAGCCTGAGACCTTGCAATTCGAATCCTAGGTAGATCCTAGGAAATGTGTTCATATACGCACAAAAAGTTTTCTACAGTAATGCTCGTTGGAGTGCTACTCATTATACGCCTAAATTGGAAACAACCAAATCGCCTAGTAACAGCAGAATGGATGAATTCTGGTGCATTCATAGACCAAAATACTCCACAGCAATGAAAATAGCAGACTCCCACCACATGCTACCACATGGTGAATCTCACAAACGTAATGTGGAACAAAAGAAGCCAGATACACAAGAATGCATACCAAATGATTACGCCCATGTAAAGTTCAAAAGTGGGCACTACTAATCCATGTGGTTACAAGTCAGGAAAGCGGTTACCGTTTTGGGGAGGGTGGGGAGCTGGAAGGGGCCAGGGGGGCCTCCTGGGCTGGTCTTTCTGTTTCTTGACTTGGGTGCCCAGTTACATGAGTGTGTTCACACTGTCAAAATTCATGGAGCTGCACACTTATGATTTGTGTTCTTCTCTGTACATATGCTATTAATATATCTCAATAAAAAGTTTACTGAAAAACGAGCTGCTCCGAAACTCAGCAAATATCCTGTTGAAAAAAGCTGGGCCTTAAAGCAGTAACTTAGTTTTTACTTTTAATGTTTTATGAAAATTAATTTTCCGTATGAAAAACAATCGCTTCTATTGAAATATTACCTTACATAAAAGGAAAAATATTTAAAATATGATACATTTATACTATAAAATGAGAATATACGTTATCCTGATATCATTTTGCAGTTAACAAATAAGGTTTTTCAGTATCATCAACTTACCTGAGTTGCTTTGCATAGCTGAGTTCAATCTCTGTCCTCTCTTTCACGAATTTGATATATTTCTCAAGAATATCAATTCCCCACTGTGTGTGTTTTTCTAAGTTGTCAAACTGATCCTGTTAAAACAAAACAAGAGAGAAGTTATAGTCTTTCCCTGTGACTAACATAATTTCAATGAAAATTCTCTTAGCAATATATTGCTCCATACAAAGTAGCACTAGCATTTTCCATGATTATACTTGGGGTGCTTTTTCGTTGAGCCATTTTAAATCAACATTACCAAATACGGTTTGAAAACCGCCTGGAGTAGTGAACGCTGACCTATTCATTCATATTTCCTATTCCTTTTAGAAACGTAGTTTTTAGATACAATTGATGTCCCAGTGCAAAGAAAAATGTCATTCCCAGATACCAAAAACTGACAGGTGAAACACGCACACACAAACACAACCGCACACGGCTGGCACCTTAACTGTTACATCTGGATAATCATTCAAAACAGCTGACTGAATTGCACCCAAGGAACTGGAAAAGTAGAGTTACAAAATGTTGCTTTCTTCAAATGATTAAAATAAAACACATCAAGCCCACATGGTGAGCCAGGAACAGTGCCTGAAGCTGGAGAACCAAAATGAACAAAAATACAGCCTAAACTTGCACTGTTTAAACCTAAACCTGGGGGTTTATAGTCTGGAAGAATGAGAAGGAGCCTGGGTAACACGGTGAGACCCCCATCTCTACAAAAAATTTTTAAAAATTATCTGGGCATGCTGTTGTACCACTGCACTCCAGCCTGGGTGTAAGAGCATGACTCCGCCCCCCCCCCACCCCCAATAAAGAATGAGAGGGGACAGGTATGCTAGCAACAGCTAATGCAAAGACATGGAGATATCCAAGAATCAGGTGGATTTGTGCTGCTTGAGGGCGAGGTGGGAATGGGTGGGGCACAAGGAAACTGGAGCTGGTGAGGGACGAAACTAGCTAGCCCAGGGATAGATCACCCAAAGCTTTGAAGGCTGAACTTAGGAGTTTAGACTCTCCAGCAGGCACAGTAGGACTTGGAAGAGGAAATGGCTCCAACAGCCTAGATGAGACAAAATAGGCACAGAAGGGAAGAATTTTAGGGACATTGAACAAACACAATCAACTAGTGTGTGAGTGGCTGATTGGATGTGGAGGCTGGGAGGAAGGTATGACGGAGAGGGAAGATTCCAGATTGACTTTCAGGTTCTGCTTCCTGGGATTAAACAGAAAATCCAGATAAGAAAGAGCCACGGCTTGGGGTGAAAATTAAATGTCGATCTGACATGTTGAATGAGGGACTGGCATGTCCAGAAGAGAGCTGGAAACACGGAACGATTCAGAACTCAAGGCGGGCAGCGAGTGAGTAGGTGGATCTGAAGCAACAGCCGAGGATCAGAATGCCAAAGACGACGGCGATGCTGCACAGAATTAGCAAAGAGGACCTGGCTCAGGAAGCAGAGCCCGGAAAGGACCATGGGGGTGAGCCGGAGAGGGCATGAGCGCATCACAGGGAAGAGAAAATTTCAGTGGAAATGGAATTATTCTCACGGAAAATTTGCTGCCTCCTGAGAGGTAACAGTCATAGATGAGGGTTCTAGCCCCAGCAAAGGGAATTCACAGGGACAGGCCCCCAAATATTTCAAGTTTTAGTCATTTGCCTGTAAAACGCAGATATAATCTGATTTTCTAATTTCAGTCAGGATCATGCAAAATGGGGAAGCGTCAACTCAAATATAAAAATATAAAGCTAGGCCGGGCGCGGGGGGACTCACACCTGTAATCCCAGCACTTTGGGAGGACGAGGCAGGTGAATCACCTGAGGTCAGGAGTTCGAGACCGGCCTGGCCAACATGGGGAAACTCCATCTCTACTGAAAACACAAAAAAGTTAGCCAGGCGTGGTGGCAGCTGCCGGTAGTCCCAGCTACTCAGGAGGCTGAGACAGGAGAATCACTTGAACCCGGGAGGCGGAGCCAAGATCACACCACAGCACTCCAGCCTGGGCAACAGAGACTCCAGTTTCTCACACACACACACACACACACACACACACACACACACACACACACATATAAAGCTAGTATTTAATCCCATCACATGCTTGTGCAATCTATTCAATGTCTTACTCCAGACTGTTTTTTGTTTGTTTTGAGACGGAGTTGTGCTCTTTCACCCAGGCTGGAGTGCAGTAGTGCCATCTCAGCTTGCTGCTGCCTCCCAGGCTCAAGCGATCCTCCCACTTCATCCTCCTGAGTAACTCGCCACCATGCCCTGGCTAATTTTTGTATTTTTTGTAGAGAGGAGGTCTCACTATGATACCCAGGCTGGTCTCAAATTCCTAGGCTCAAGCGATCCTCTGCCTTGGCCTCCCAAAGTGCTGGGATTACAAGTATGAGCCACCGCCTCCGGTCCGCCTTTTTTTTTTTTTTTTTAAACCACTTTACTGAGATATGATTGAGCTTTTGGCCAGGCGAGGTGGCTCATGCCAGTAATTCCAGCACTTTGAGAGGCCCAGGTGGGTGGATCACCTGAGGCCAGGAGTTTGAGACCAGCCTGACCAACATGGTGAAACCCCCATCTCTACTAAAAATACAAAATTAGCCGGGCATGGTGGCTGGCACCTGTAATCCCAGCTACTTGGGAGGCTGAGGGAAGTGGGAGAATTGCTTGAACCCGGGAGGCAGAGGTTGCAGTGAGCCGAGATCACACCACTGCACGCCAGCATGGACGACAGAATGAAACTTCATCTCAAAAAATTAAATCAAAAATAATCAGTGTAAAACGCTTGTCTTTATAACTAATACTTTTTTATATTTAAAGTTGATTCTCATATATATTCCATAAAGCCCTAGATTTCACTTTAAGAAGTGCTAGGTTATTTATGTTATCTATAAAGTCAAGGGCTATCAAGTACGCTACTGGCGTAAACAAGACTGCAGATCGCTTTAAAGTACTTGAGAGAACAAATATACACACAGTTCAAGCTACGATTACAAATCATTGAGAGCAAGACTTCTTTCAGGCCCTCTGCTTATCAGTAACCCTTTGTGGATCTCGTTTCACAGCAATCATATATATATATTTTAATGATAAACAATTAGTAGGGCATCATGGCACATGCTTGTAGTCCCAGCTACTAGGGAGGCTGAGGCATGAGAATCACTTGAGCCCAGGAGTTCAAGGCTGCAGTGAGCCATGATCAGGCTACTGCTCTCCAGCCTGGGCATTAAAGCAAGACCCTGTCTCAAAACACAAAAAAACAAAAACATAAACACCCTTCCCTCTATTTAAAAGCCCTTTCCCAGCTGGGTGCAGTGGCTCACACCCATAATTCCAGCACTTTGGAAGGCTGAGGTGGGCAGATCACTTGAGGGCAGGAGTTTGAGACCAGCCTGGCCAACATGGTGAAACTCTGTCTCTACTAAAAATACACAATTAGCCAGGCGTGGTGGCACGCACCTATAATCCCAGCTACTTGGGAGTCTGAGGCAGGAGAATCACTTGAGCCCGGGAGGTGGAGGTTGCAGTAAGTCGAGATTGGGCCATTGCACTCCAGCCTGGGCAAAAAGAGCAAAACTCCACCTAAAGAAAAAAAAAAAAAAAAAAGCCCTCCCCCTGTATGATTTCCCATCATCTCCAAAGCCTTGCTTATTTTCAGCAGTCATAGGTGCCACCTTGAAAACTTGCTAAGAGGATATGCTCTTAGGTTTCATTCCTGGCCTGTTAACAACCTGACTACATATTTCCCCCCCCCGCCCCCGTCATGTCACTTTGCATTCAAACTGATGTATGCTATACAAAGCAAGAGCTTTCCATAGCACAGCCCTTACAAGCAACAAAAAAAGCCCATCTACATTTGAATTGAGTCCACCTTAAGAATTACTGGCCTCAATCCAACAATATGTTTTTCCATAAAGTTATCTGTATTCAAGACCATCCTACAAGCTATAACAAAGCATTTACCAAGATGACAGAGTCCAAATAAGATAGAAGATCTTAAAAATAAAAACCTGACTCTGTAACAATAAGCTAGTGCTTGTTTGTGACTATAGCAGAGTTCTTTGCATGCTCTATTAAGCCCAAGGATGCCCCTCACTCTTACTATCACATGAATCGCTGCAGCACTGACTTGACAGCAGCTAGAAGAAAATTCAAGACAGATGAAAAACTAATCAACCCACTTACATTCTTGACCAAAATGTGGAAAACTTAATGGGAAAAAAATCCAAATCTTAAAAGGACTCCTTTGTGAGCAAATATTATAAATGGCTCTTTAAAAACAGCCTTTGCTACTTTGGGGATGGTATCATCAAAAATGCATGCCTTCCTGCTTGATGTCACATCACAGTCGTTCTGGGGACCCCTCTGCCCTCTTAAAAATCATTGAGAACCAGCCAGGCACGGTGGCTGATGCCTGTAATCCCAGCATTTTGGGAGGCTGAGGCAGGCAGATCACTTGAGAACAGGAGTTCAAGACCAGCCTGGCCAACATGGTGAAAACTCATCTCTACAAAACAAAAATAAAAACAAAGATTAGCCAGGGGGTGGTGACACATGCCTGTAGTCCCAGCTACTTGGGAGGCTGAGGCACAAGAATCACCTGAACCCAGGAGGGAGAGGTTGCAGTGAGCCGAGACTGCACCACTGCACTCCAGCCTGGGCTACAGAGTGAGTGAGACTCTATCTCAAAAAAAAAAAAAAAAAAAAAAAAAAAATCACTGAGAATCCCAAAGAGATTTTGTGTGAGTGAGTTACACCTACCAATATTTACTCAATCAGAAATTGAAAATGGGGAGATTTTTTTTAAAGTATTTATTCATTTTAAAAGGCAATAAATCCATTACATGTTAATGGAAATAGCATGTTTTTTATTTTTAAAAACCATACTTTCCAAAACAAAAAATAGAAGAATGGCACCGTGTTACATTTTTGCACATCTCTTTCAAGTCTGGTTTAATAGAAGACAGCTGGATTATCACAGTCTTCTGCATTCAATCTACTACGATTCTTTACTTTGGTTGAAGTATGTGAAAAAACACAACTTCACACAGATACCCAGCTAGAAAATGAAGGAGTGCTTCAATACCCTTTTT